ATGCACTCTTCGATTTCGCTCTTATTGCTCACTCTCACACCACAGATGGAAAGCTGACGTGTCTCAGTGAAGACCCAAACTGTTCATTGAAAGCACTGTATCAACCTTCGGGAAATGGCTTGGTGGAATGTTTTCACTGCGACCTAAAAACAGTTTTAAAGTCTCATAACAATATTTATTGGACTACATCATTTCCTCTTGTGCTTCTTGGTCTACGTTCTTCCTTCAAGCAACACCTCCAAGGTACATCCGCCGAATTTGTTTATGGCAAGACGTTTCGACTACCATTCGAATTCTTTCAATCATCCACTGTTGCAGTCAAACCATCCGAATTCTTTCAACCATCCACTGTTCCAGTCAAACCATCCTCCTTCCTCCACACTTTCTGAGAAGTCATGAAAACGTTGTCTCTGACTCCTAAATCATGCCACAACACATAGACCTCGTTCATGCATCCTGCATTGAGTACCAGACTCGTGTTTGTGCGTTAAGGGATGTGGTAAAACCTCCGCTCACGCCTCTATGATGATTCCTTCAAAACATGTAATATGTAGCAACAAACATCTCACCGTTCTCGTAGATGACAAGAAACCTGTTCTAGGAATCGATCGACTGAAGTCTGTATCGCTTAAAGCTTCGAATCCGCCGATCCCAGTGATTAGTGGTTCGCTTGCTTCTTTGGATCCCTCTGCTTCTCCAGATCCTCCTTCTTCGCTCGACCTTCCACTTCCTACCACTGCTCCACCCGTCATCGCACGCTCGGGAAATATCTAATAGATATTTGTGATTTCTTTCTTCATACCTTCCGCACTCGAGGGGGATACTGTAGAGAACTCTTTTAAACAACAGAAAGATCCAAAAGGTGGTCTTACAAGTTTTCCCTTCTTGTCCCGTAGGAGAAAATTTGTGACTGAACAGAATAGTCCCTCACTGGCAGTCACCAGCGAAGCTTCGAAGAGACTTCACTCATGTCGCATGATGCTGACTGAATTCTGAACTAGCGTACTTGCTACTACAGTGAAACTCCACCTATGATTCTTCTCTGATTGCGTTGAATGACTTACATATGATGTTTAGCTTTAGTATTTCTACATATGTGCTAGATTAATATATTTTTCTAACCTAATTAAAATAATAGATGTAAAACCAGGCATTTCATCTCCATCTTTGCATTAATACATGTTGCTATGGAATGGTCACTATAATCTCGATTAAAGTAAGATGCGACAGTATCTTTTGGATATTCCCCACAGGCTTCTCTTCATTTTCATCACAATTAATTCGAAAACTTCTCATATTAACAGTAATATTTTTACGTACATAATTACCTATATCTGCTGATTAGCACATATCTGTTCCTTCTGCACATTCATTGTACTTTAGTGGCAGACAACATCTGCTGAAGAATCTCTCTCTGGGTATGATATTTTAATAACAAAGTTGTCTAATTTTCGGAGCTTTTTTTCTACCTTCTGCTTGTTCTTTTCGTCTTTGGGGTCTATTCTTCAGTTTTTTATCCATTTTAACTAATAATATATGTAATATTTTATCATTCGTCATAATTATTTTAATATTTCTTAACCACAAATTTTATTTTCCAATCAACTACAAATAAAGTAGTTCTTAAGAGTTTTCAGAACTAAGTATAGCAGAGACTGCTATAGAACGCAGGCACTTAGCTGTTCTAAATACCCCTTTCATTAAATGTGTATGTGCAATCTAACCAAAACTAGCATATTTGGTTTGTGATAGCAACTTTTTGCTGTGCTTTAATACCTTCTTATGCTCAGATGTTAAAAAAAAAAACAGTAACGAAAAATACAAAATGATTATCACAAACAAAACAGGTAAGTTTTGATTAGATTGCACATGCGCATTTCATCACTGTGGTACTATACTGCAGAATTCATTTCACAGCATAAGAATTAACAACAAAATAGGCTACTGTCACATTCAGTTTTATTTCTAAATGTTATATTATTCAGAAACAGATATAAAATTTCTATAATTAGTAACACAATTTATTCACTGAATTTTAAATTAAATCTCCACATGTAAAATATCAGATGGATTTTGTAACAAATTTATTAATTTACTATTACTTTTTGAATATTCAAAAATTAAAAAAAGGAATGAACCCTTACGCATTGCCAAATCTCACCTATCTGTGCTATGCTATGTTACTGTTTGCAACGTAATCCATTCAGTGGGAATGGGCCGTACCCATTATTTATTTAGAATCCAATCCAGCAAGAATATTGCCAAAAAACAAACCAATTACACCTAGCCCTCGATTTATACGGAAGATAAGTTCCGCACAAAACCGTGTAAATCGAAATCTTGGATTTTGCTATGTAAAACCGTGTAAAACGAAAAACACACTAAATGTGCAAAATTTAGTTATTTATTTACATAAAACTAAAGAACGACATCTTAGAATAAATAAAGTTATACTTCCTTCATAAAAGAACAAACACTGTACTTGCCGGCGTATAAGAGGCACTTTTTCCTTTGAAAATAGGTCTGGAAAACGGAGTGCGTCTTGTCGATACTCAGTTTTTGATTACACATTCATTTCTGAAAATTTCCTCTATTTATGCGATTTTTTCTTGCTTCTTTGCGAAATGTGGGAATATAACAGTTACATAGAGTTTAGTGAATGTGTATGTGCTGTCATCGACGATCACAGCTGGGTTCGTTTAAAAAAATTAAAAAAATCTGATGTGTGCACCACATGACTTCCTTGTACGGAATACCATTTTTTCTTGCATTTCATTTAAACTTATTGGATTGATTTAAATCTACTTCGTTCATATCGCATAAACCACAATAGAATAAATGCACTCTTTAAAATTCATGTTTCAAAATGTTTACTATAGCGACACTCTGGCGCTAGGCTCACTTAACAGCGTTACATTTGGTTCATTTTTTAACTCAGAATGCACAAAATTTATATCATCTTAAGAATTATCTAATCGTTGCCACATGTTCTATTCAAATACTATAATAAATCTAAAGCGATGTATAAAATAAATTAAACAAAGAACAACAACAACAACAACAAAAAAAAAAAAGTTTTTTCACAGTATTCAGTATTTCTCATTCAAGTAGTTCAGTTCTCACTTCGCGACAAGGCAAAAAAAAAAAAAAAAAAAAAAAAAAAAAAAAAAAAAAAAAAAAAAAAAAAAGTACGTCTGTATTGAAAATTATGAATTAAATCTTAAACTTCGAGGAAATACCATCATGCTTCGTATTTCCTCGAATAAATTCCAGAATGGATTAAGCATGATTTAATTCGTAATAATAAAAGAAAGCGTTATCTTTGTTATTGCGAAGCTTACTTTCTCTACATTGGCAACAAATCCACTATTCTGCTATTTCAAATGTAAACAAGCAATGGCCGCCATGGAAAAAATTATTAGGCTTAGCGGCACTTAAAACTTTTAAATTGTTGATAGTTCTAAAAATATTCCATACAGATTTACTAACGGTTAAGGCATAAAAACCTTAACCGGAAGAAAAAAACAACGTAATTTAATCATTTTTAAAGCAAAAAATGTACAATTTGCAAACATATAAGAGTAAAGAAACTGAGATCACCGAGCCGGGTAACAGAGTGGCTATATATATAAATATATTTATATACGTTTGGTGCGTCCGATCGCAACCAAAATACGAGGTGCACATCTACTTGTTATAGCAATCCTATATACAAAATTTCAACGTTCTGAGGCTACTCGTTTTTGAATTATGCGAGATCCGTACATACGTTCGTACAGACGCCACGAAAAATTCTCTTCAGAATTCATTTTAAATCAGTTTTACAATTTTTTTGGGGGAAAAGAGTCTTTTATTCTGTCCTTACGTACAGATATCAAGCAAAAACATCGTTAAATTGCATTCGATAGCGGTGAAAATGGATATTTGCGTTGAAATATGATGCTTGAAACTTTTCGCGATTACAATACATCCTTTTTATTTCGTACACGGAAGTAAAAAGGAGGTGCGTCTTATACGCCGGGAAATATGGAATATGTAGGTAATAGAAGTACATATTTAATTTATTTTACATTAGGAAAATATCAGATCATTCAAAAAAATTATTGTTAAGTTTAGTCACTGTCATCACTTTCATGAACGATTAGTCTTTTCTTGATTGGTATGATGTTCACGTTCATCACTTAAGCGTTCTTGATAAGATTCTGATTCATTGATTGACGAATTAGGGAAGATCTCAGATCGACAAGACTTTGTAGTGAAATCCGTAATTAACAATTGCCTAGGTTTTTCCCTAAATCTTTCTAAACTTCCACATATTAATTTAAGCACTTACTAAGGTCCCGTTGGAATCGGACAGCTCCTTCAGTATTCGTGTCATATTGCAAAAATGATTACCTAATTTTCTTCCCAAGTCAAGTCCTACGTTGATGACTCTTGCGGTGAACGCAACTGGTTCAGATTACTCTTTATCAGAATCATTGTCTTCATAATGTTTATTTGTTTCATGAATCATGTTAAATAATTAATTCTCATTTAGTTCTTCATCAGCCATCATTTCTTCAATATCTGAGCTAAATCCTCAAAACCTTCTCCTTTTATAGTTTGGACCAATTTAGTGATCTGAGAATATTCATGCTCTAATGGTAATCTATCATTCTCATCTTTAGAAGCATCCGGCCATATTGCTATCCAGCATACGTTGAGTGTTGATTATTTAATCTGAGTTAGGATTTAAGTTAGGATTTGTGATCTCGTTTGATAAAATTATATGTAAAAATAAAAGCTGATACTCTTTAAATATTTTTAATCTATTGATTTTAAAATATTTAAAATAAATGAATTACTGTCTCATAGGATGTCAGAAACGCTGGACGAGAGGAACAGAAACATATTTATAAATAGGTATTATCAGTTTATAAAAATCTCACTATCATTCATCTGCAACAGGAAATAAGAAAATTAATATGCATTAAACTCTTAAAACAAAAGTCACAAATAACCTTTGGCACTAAGTTTACAACAGCATAACTTGAAGATGATGGTATTAAGATCCTTTTGTATTCAGTTATTAATTTTGCCATATCTTCAAATGCTTTGTTGTAATCTTTTACCTAAAATGAAACAAAAACACTAGAAATTACAAAAAGAAGTGTGCAGCAATTTGAAACTCAAATTTATACTGAAATCAAAATTTGATGGATGATGATTTTATAAAATTAATGCACTTTGAAAGAGACAAACTTCTTTGTCTTTAGGCATGAAAAAATATTGTGCAATGAAAATTAGAAATATTTAATTTAAATACGCATATTGAAAATTATGCAAATATATATATATATATAGAGAGAGAGAGAGAGAGAGAAAGAGATTTTATCTTTCTGTTAACTCTGATTTATCAAATCAGCCTACAGGAAAATTACATTAAATCTAGTTAAATCTAGGCCAAGTTAAAAACATATGCTTCTTTTATGGCAAAGAAACAAAATGCATAAATAGCTTAACAAATAACAATTATCTTTTGAACTTCTAAAACTACGATATATACTAACATAATATTTTTCACATAAATTGCCTAAATTGCATTCTCCTTGCATATGCACACTTTTAATAAGAAATAGTAATATAAAAAGCCACTTTTAACTTACCTTTAACACAAGATTGCATTTTTGTTTCAATACTTAAAAAAAAAAAAAAAAAAACTGACAAATTAGATGAGAGAGAATATGTGCGCCTGCGGCGCATTTCATACTAGCGGCGGCGCATGCGCTTGAGCTTTGAGTTGTGACATGAGATGTGAGCTAAGAGCGGGTGAGAGAATTCGTGGCTTCGAGTGGCCATGAACTATGTAAATTAATGAGAATTAAAGTGAGATATAATACAGTCCATTGTTCCTGAGTTTATTGAATTATAGTGTAGTGCCTGTGCAAAACAGAATAGTTTACTTGAAAATGATAATATTTTATTAATTTTACTTTTTACTTATTAAGTGTAAGAAAATAATTCTTTTTGATTTTTGTCTTAAGTGCATATCAATAAATGTTAAAAATTTTCTTTTAAGTTCAACTAACATGAAAAAATACAATACCGTACTTACAGCAGCATGTCAGCACTGCAATATGAAAAATTTATTTATTAATAAAAAATTATTTAAAATTTATTTAAATTTTTATTTAAATTTATTTAAATTTTTTAAGGAAGATAATAATGATATTCGGAAATTAAGGATAATTTTTAAAAAAATAAAAACAAAAGCATTGCAATATCAGAAGAATTCATCTTACTGCATGTAATGATGAATAACTAGGGCAATAACAATAAATATATATTTGCAAAGGTTTCAAAATTTTCATCCTTCAGGTCCAATTCACAGGTATCAAGGTGTTGATCAAACATAAAATTCTCAATAAAGGCTGGTGGTATATATTTTCCACAGTTCTGTCAATGTTATGGTCTTATTTCTCAGATTAGTGACATGGTCTTTGGTGATTGCAGTGAAGATCGCTTCATTTTTGCTTACTTTCTATTTTACATGTTGCCTTCTAGATTATCTTACCATTTTGTTACTGATTACCCATTACTTCTTGGATTACTGAAATTCTGGATATTGTTACAACTTTAACTGTTTCGCTTCAACCATTGGTTTGTTGCAGATACCTTGGAAGGTTTTGTGCATGAAATTGCAATACAAACAAACAAATCAATACCCCCAAATAACTTGTAAAAAACTGTGTTCACAAGGTAAATCTTTTGATGACATAAAGAGGTGAAAAACGCTAATTTTAGTGATTCATGCAACAAAAACTCTAAATATATTCCACCAGCGCTAAGAAAAGATTCAGTGGTAAATGAACAGAAACATTCGTTTAACCCGCGAAAATGTTACGTGTGTAGTAGCAGTTTACATTGACTATTGCCCGAACAGGCGAAATAAAATTTGAGAGGTCAAATAACAGAACGATAATTTCCGGTCAAACCGAAGTTAACTTCAAGAAACCGACGGACAATGCGATTGTACAATGTAAATTCTAAAATTTACAAAAACGCGAGTGTTCGACGGAAAACTTAATTTTTATTCTTGGAAAAAATACTATTACAGCAGGGAAGCAAGTAGAAGCTATAAGAGATTCAGGTACGGAAATACCAATTTTGAACACTACATTAATTCCTGATTTAAAAATAGAAGTAAGGGTAAAATCATTTTAAGTCTGCATTTGGGGACGTCATAGAGGCACCGAGCAACTATCCCATTTTACAAAAAAACAAACAGTTGTCCTATATCGTGCGTAGAAGCTCTTTCGCGTTGACAGATAGCTCAATGTTAATGTTTAATACACCAGGTGTTAGAGATCGCATATTGAAGACGAGAATGAATCAATAGTTTCCCGAGACGAAACGGGAAAAATAACAAAAACACCCAAAGGTTGGCGCCGTGGAATGTCAAATGTAAATCTTTTTTTATGCTCAGTTGCGAATTAGGATGATGAAAGACTAAGAAGTTGTCGGAATCGAATAAATTAAGTCGATCAGAGAAACTGTCAAAATTAATAAATTCTTTAAGGACGCAGATTAGGGAAGAATAATTTCTCTTACAGAACGAATTATGTTTCATAAAGAAAAAATTGGGGAAAACATACAACAGTTAGTTTTGCCGAGAATTATCGAAATTAAAGTCCTTCAATTAGCTCATGATTCCATTCGGAATCATTTAGGATGAGGAAAACTAAAGAAAGAATAGTTTATTTTATTGGCCGAACATAGAAATATTGTCGAAATCGAAAGATGTCAATTAAAAAGTCCGGACGACATCGGCTTAAATTCCGATTACTCCTATTTTCGCGCGCCATATCCTTTCATACAAAAAATATAGATATTATTGGTGAAATTTCACCGCCTTCGGGAAGGAAACTAATATTGTTTATGTTTGATAGATAATTATCAAATGGCAGAAGTCATACCTTAAAAAGTCTTTCCGCTAAAGCTACTTGTGATGATCTTTTAGATATTTTTATGAGAACCGGTATTCCGAAATATTGTAGCGATCAGGCACTAATTTTCCTCACAATTAACTCAAGAATTCGAAAATAGGTTAGGAATCATCTCGTTTTCGACGCCTGGTTACCCAGCATCAAGGCTCAGTGGAAAAAGGAATCGGGTATTTAAACAAATTGTTATATCATGTAATTCGCACAGATCCTGTAATTGGGTCAAGCACATACCTTTTTGGTATCGTGAAGTTCCAAATTGTACTACGGTGTATCTCCATTATGCTTATGTACGGTCGTGAAGCTAGAGGTCCCTTAGCTATGTAAATCATCTGGTCCGGTGAAATGCCATACCCTTATAGTAATTCAGAGTGATATCTCAAGATTAAGAGAAATTTAGATAAAGCATCTGAGCTCGCTTCTTATCTGCCGCGGAAAATAAGAAAGCTATGCATATTATTTTAACCGTCGCAAAAGTTTGAAAGAATTAAAAATGGTGATCTAGTATATTTACTTATACCAGACTCTAGCAACAAGCTATGCTAGGTGGACAGGTCCAGGTGAAATTGTTGAAAGAGTAAATCTATTCTTATAAAGTTAAATTACCGAGGAAGTGTGCGGCATGTTCATGTAAACCAAATAAGAAAATTTATGTTCGAGCACAAACTGTGGGAGTGTTATTTGAAGATGAATCTGAGTTTGGGGAAATTTATCCAAGTCCAAATAAAGAGGATTGCGCTGCAACTAGAAGGGACATCGAGGTGGATATTTAGTCATTTAAAGGGTAGCAAACAAAAGGAATTACACGAGCTTTTACTCAAGCATATCGCGTTATTTTCTCGTGAGATTCAAGTAGCCAGCGTTGGTGAACATAGACTTCGGTTGTTACCTAGAGCTGAAAGAAAAAAACCATATATCTATAAGATCCTAGAATCTTTGAAACTTGAAGTAAATAACAGATCGAGGAATTAGAGAGCTTGGGTCTTATTGAGCCAAATGAAGCTGAAATAGCATACCCAGTCGTATGTGTTGCCAAGAAAGACGGAAGTATGCGTGTATGTATGGATTTCAGATTGTGAATCAAGTAACCAAGAATGTTGATTTTCCAATGGAGAATGTGACTGATCTAATCAATAAAATTGGACACGCGAATATTTCACTGTTTAGATGTTTTGAAAGGTTATGGGAAATACCTTTAGAAGAAGAAAAGTGTGATTTAACATCATTCAAGACACATCGTTCCCAGTACCGTTGGAAGTGATGCCTTTTGGATTAAAAATGCAGCTTCTACTTTTCAGCGAGTGATGATTTGAAAGCCTTAAGAAAACATAGTGATTTTTACAAAGCATGTATTGATGATATTGCTATCTTTTCACCAGATTGGAATTCTCATCTCTTCATTCAAACATTTAGATGCTGTGCTAACTACATTAAGTGATTCTCAGATTTACGGTTAACGTAAAGAAATGTGTTTTTGCACGTTCGGAGATAAAGTATTTAGGACATATAATAGGAGTTGGAAGACATCAACCTGATCCTGAAAAATTACAAGCCATCGAAATTATAAGAAAGTCCTAAAACAAAGACTGCTCTAAAGAGTGCATTAGGCTTATTCAACTATTATCGTGATTACATAAAGAATTATGCAAAAATAGATTGAATAGCTCCGCCCATTGACGGAGCTTACGAAAAAGAAAATTCCTGAGATAATTCCATGGACTGCTGTTGAGGAATCACCATTTCAAGATCTGAAACGTCGACTGTATGAAGCACCAAAATTGCACACTCCAGAACCAGAAAAACCTTACACCATACAGTGTGATGCTAGTTCATATGGTGTTGGTGCTTGCTTGTCACAACGAGACAGCAAAGGCAGTTTGCATCCTACCAGCTTTTCCAGTCAAAAACACAGTGGCGTAGCTAGGGTGGGGCAAGGGGGGACATCTGTCCCCGGGCGCAGCATCCAGGGGGCGCCAAATTGATTCTACGAAATTTTAGAATAAAGTGTTTTCCATTCGTGGCAAACAGAAAGGGGCGCAAAATCTCCAGTTGTCCCCGGGCGCTGAAAACCCTAGCTACGCCTCTGCAAAAACATTCGAAGACTCAGCAGAACTGGTCAACTATTGAAA